AGATTGATTTGAGATATGGATACCATCAGATACTGGTTAAAGAAAATGATGTACAGAAGACAACGTTCAGGTCGAGATATGGCCATTATGATTATGTGGTCATGTTGTTTGGAGTAACGAATGCACCAGTAGTGTTCATGGACTACATGAATAAGATCTTTCATCCTTATTTAGATAAGTTTGTTGTTGTTTTTATAGATGACATTCTTATTTATTCTAGGACTTGGGAAGAACACCAGGAACATCTGAGGGCGATGTTGGCTGTGTTGAGAGAGAAATAGTTGTATGTCAAACTCTCAAAATATGAGTTTTGGTTAGATCAGGTGCAGTTTTTAGGACATGTAATATCGGCAGAAGGGATATCTATAGATCCTGCCAAGGTAGATGCAATGTTAAAATGGGAAACCCCTAAGACAGTGACGGAAGTGTGTAGCTTTGTGGGACTTGTCGGATATTACCGGAAATTTATAAAGGGTTTCTCTAAAGTAGCAACTCCTTTTACTCAGTTGACCCGTAAGGATCAATCTTTTGCTTGGACAGATAGATGTGAGGAGAGTTTCCAGGAGTTGAAAAGAAGGTTGTCTAGTTCCCCAGTGTTGGTGATCCTAGATGTGACTCAATCTTTTCAGGTATATTGTGATGCTTCTATTCAGGGGTTAGGTTGTGTCTTGATGCAAGATAAAAGGGCGGTGACATATGTGTCGAGACAAGATAAAAGGAGTGCACGTCCCAGGCGAAAAAGGTGTTCATAACGGCTTGATCTACTATGTCAAGGTGAAAAGGAAAAAGTATGGTCCCAAACACAATCAGAGTCAGGGTTTTGTTAAAGGTAAACCAATTTGCCTTATCAGCCAAAGAGGACAGATGGTCTTCTAGTATTGCAACTTTCCATCCCTGGATATTCCTTGTACCATCAGGGCAGCCTGATGAAGTGACAATTGGATGATGGCGGCGACTTTGACTGCGGGAATATATGTTTCGTGATAAATATGGACCCCGACTGATTTGGATCATCTCAACATTATTTCATATTCCTCCAAAGTTGGTACCAGGTCAAATTGCAGAAATTCAAAGCAGTGTAGACTGGAATTCCAGAAATGGATCAAAACCCTGATGAAGATGGGATCGACACAGATCTTTAAAAGATTGAGAATTCGTCCATAAGATTTTTTGAAATTGGAACAGACCTTGGGTGGCATCAATGCACACAATCATTCTATCTTCTCTAAACGATACCGGGGAATGTCCACTTTCTTTAATTGTTTATTGGACCCCTCCATTTTTTTAGAAACAAAAATGCATGCTATGAGTATGATGTTGATGCGAGCATGCATGTAAGTGTTTTGTTTCCCTAAATATTATCATATTTTATTTTCTACGTGATGCATGATAGTGTTTGAATTTTTTATTTTTTCAAAAGAAAGGAAACTATTTATATGGATGTTCATGAGTTCGATGCTTAACACCATGAATAGGGTCCCATTTTCTCTTATTATGATTATTTGATTTATATAACCATTTATCTCTTCTGTCGGACTGTGTAACTATTTAGCTTACAAAGAACCTGAAACCAGACTAGCTAAAATGCAGACTATCAGAGATAAAAGTGGTTTATTATGAAAGAATGGTTTTAGAATCCCTTATCTCATCTATCGGTCCACGTGGCTACTTAGCTTACAAAGAACCTAAAATTAGGCTAGCTAAAATGTAGACTGTTCGAGATAAGCGTGTTTGTTATGAAATGGTTTTTGAGATTTTTGTATTCATTTTGCTGGTGTATGATTATGTTATGCAACAAACAAATGCACAAACAATTCACTCATCCACGAACAGTGTGACGACGTTTTTATCACGAGGTAGGGGTATCCTGCAGAAGAGTGCGTATTCAAGGTAGTTCTAAATATCCTCACCAAGGTCAGGCCCCCAAGGTGCCCCCATTATAGGGTCTCCACTCTCTCAGCCTTCAGACCATGCATGACACTAAGGCCTTGTCAGTCTTTAGATCAAAAGAGGAAGGTTATCACCTTGAGTGGTAGTTTTCGACCATATCGGTGGGCTCATGGCCCTCACTACGGCAAATCGTACAATGCCACCCACTCCCTAAGGTTATCCCACTTGCTCCCGGGTATAGGGGGAACTGTTGTGTGCAAGGGTTTGTGTACATTTGTTATTTCAAATAATTTCATAAAGTAAACGTACAACAGTTATTAAAGCCAAATAATAAATCATGTTATAAAAGCAAGGAAGGGTAAAAGCGTAATTTCAAGTTTTTATTTCTTAAACTAGTCCATCATTAAATGGGATCAACTCTCTAGCTTCCCCAGCGGAGTCACCATCTGTCGTTGTCGTCAAAAGAGGTGGTCGGAGCGACGCAATTTTTTTTATTCGACTCGCGTTTTAAAAAGTGTGGTCATCACCCTTAGGATGTCCGATAACCGAACTATTCTAAGGGTGAGGTTTTCATAAATGGGTCCTGGAGTCACCACCAATATTTTAACCAAAAACATTGGAAAAGGAAAAAAGAAGGCGGAGATTTTAAGAAAAACCAACTTTAGTCATTACGACCAGAGTTAGATAAGGGAGTTAGTTACATACGAGGAAAGTATTAGCTTCCCCACGACGCCCATTTCGGGTTCCCTATGATAGATTGTTTATTGTTAAAATAAGAACATTAAAATTATGTTTTTACCCTTATTTATTCATTGCAAAATTTAAATAACTGACTACATGACCATAATATCTAATGCACCGAGAGGGTAATAAAAGCAATAAAAGAAAGAGAGTAAGGGATGTAAAAACTTCTGAAGCAAGCTTTTATGTATATTCTTGTAAATGACGCTTTTTGGCAAACCCCACACTCTACACAGGTATTCCTCTCTTGAATCGAAAACTACCCGAAACTGCTTAAATGAGTTAGAATTGGACTTCTGGAGTAAGAATAGCAAGTATACAAAGTATCGGAGTAAGAACTATATAATTTCTAGTTTTTTTTGTGTGTTTTTCCCTGAAACAGAGGTCCTATTTATAGAAATTCGTGCTTGTCAGACTAGGACGGTCGTCTCGTCTTGTAAGGCGAGACGGCCGTCTGGCCAAATGGGACGGCCTTCTGAGCAGAATTCTCTTATTTTTTTGTACAGAAAGCTTTCCTATTCTAATATGGAGCCTAGTAAGAACGCCTAGGAACCTTTGAGGCCTTGTCCATCTTTGAACGAAAGTCTTCTGCTCTTTATTGTGAGGCTGAGCAAGATTTGGGATCTACAAGTGGTTTACTTGGTTCCAAACCTGCTACCACTCATTTTGATCTTTTTACTAAACTTCAGGCTAATCATGGACAACTGTATTCCGATATTGCTGTTTATTGCAGATTAGTCGGTAAATTATTATATCTCACACTTGCACGCCCTGACATTGCCTTTTCTATCCAGGAGCTTAGTTAATCTATGGCTCAACCTCTTGATGTTTATTATAAAGTTGTCATTCGAGTTCTTAAATACTTCAAAGGTTCACCTACCCAAGAGTTATTTTTCTCTGTCTCTGCTGACATTCGTCTTTCTGCTTCTGTTGATTTGTACTGGGCCTATTGTTTGGACACTCGCCGCTTGATCACCAGATTTTGTGTTTTCCTTGATTCTTCCTTGATTTCCCGAAAATCCGAGAAGCAATCTATTATCTCTCATTCATCCTCCGAAGTAGAATATCGAACATTAGTCAGCCTCACTTGTGAGATTCAATGATTACATTATCTTTTTTTCGTAATCTTCATATTTCATTAGGTCCTACTACATCCTATTGTGATAACTAGTCTGTCATTTACTTAGCTCATAATCTTGTATTTCATGAATATACTAAACATATCGAAATTGATTGTTATGTGGTTCGTGAGAAAATTCAACATGACCTAATTCATTTTTTTCCTGTTTCGTCTTCCAACTAGTTGGGAGATACTTTTACTAAACCTTTTCATCATACAATTTTTTACAATTATATATCCAAGTTGGGTATTTGTGACATCCACCATCCAACTTAAGAGGAGTATTAGCATAATTTTTTTATAACAAATCCTATTTTTTTCTTTTGTATTATTTTTAATTATGACATATTATTTCTTTTCTGTTCTACGGGGATTATTTATATATATATATATATATATATATATATATATATATATATATATATATATATTGCTTATATTTTTTTTTCAGGAGAATAAATTCTTAATAAAAACCGATAAATTTTATCGAGTATAAAAAACATCATTGTTATAAAGATTCAAATTCAAAATAAACTAGTGTTCTAATAAAAAAAGTCAACTAAGAGATTCAATTACCGTTATTAGGAAAAGTATAAATAAAAAAGTCAAACGAATTAATCATTTGAGGAATAAACAAAATACAACATGGTAAGTAAGTGGGTAAGATACGTAAACATTTTGATGATTATTTTTAAGGTTTTCAATGCTGATTAAGTGTAATGTAGAGACTATTACAAAACAAATCTAATTAATATTTGCAGGACGTTGTGTGTGATCATGGCACACCACAAACAATAACTTTATTATTCAGACATTTTCGTGGAAAGTAGCCACCGTCTTAACATGCACGTACGAGAGAGAACTTGTCGTATAAGAATACTTTCATGCAAAGCGTTTCCTTGTACTACGTTCAAAAATGAAATGTCAAAAAATGTCCTCATTCAACATGTTGTGAGCTGTGAGCTGCCAATGGTCACAAATCACAATGTCAAATGCTTTTCTACATTATATATATATATATATATACAACGCCGCCACCTTTTGCGCGTGTAGCAGATTTTAGATGACTATGAATAATTCTAATAACACAACCAAAGACCTCCTATAAATTCACCACCATTCCACCCTCTTTTTCCATCATCTTCATATACCTTCATTCATCTGGTTCTTGTGAAGTTCCAATTCATTTCTTCATTCTTTTCAGGGTTAAGTTACTCACATATTCATCATATTTAACCTTCGAACCAACATGGCACATAGAATTTCAAGTATCACAGCAGGTTTCATTGTCACTACGCTGGTGTTGTTTGCCTCGATATGTGATGCACAATTGTCTTCTTCGTTTTATGACAGTACATGTCCCAATGCACTCACCACCATCAGAACTGTCATTCGTAGTGCAGTTTCTAAGGAGCGCCGCATGGCTGCATCTCTCATTCGCCTTCATTTTCACGATTGTTTTGTTCAGGTATACGTAACATATATACATGCATTATTCATCTTTTATCATATATCAACTTAATCTTAATTTGGACCATATATACAATCATTATAACTGGGATCTTTTCATATGCATTGCAGGGTTGTGATGCATCAATTTTGCTAGATGATAGCTCTTCCATAGAGAGCGAAAAGACTGCACCTCAGAATTTTAATTCTGTAAGGGGTTTCAACGTCATCGATCAAGCAAAAAGTGAGGTGGAGAAAGTGTGTCCCGGAGTTGTGTCATGTGCAGACATTGTGGCAGTAGCGGCTCGTGATGCTTCATTTGCTGTAAGTTTATGCAACAAAGTAGCAAGCTATATATGTTTAATGGTTTTTGAGTTGATAACATGCAAATCATTAACAGCAAGCTATATACCTTATGTCATGCCTTTTTCATCTTTATTCTTGATCAGGTGGGTGGTCCATCATGGACTGTGAAACTTGGACGAAGAGATTCTACCACCGCAAGCAAAAGTGAAGCTACCAGTGATCTTCCACTTTTCACAGACGATCTTAACACTCTTATTTCTAGATTCAGTAAGAAGGGACTCACTGCTAGAGACATGGTTACTCTATCTGGTACTTAGTATATTTTTTTTACCAGTTTCAAAGTGTACTTTTTTGTTTTATATATTTATATAATTTATGTATATGGTCTCCTAATGCATGCAGGTGCTCACACCATTGGACAAGCTCAATGCTTCACATTCCGTGGAAGGATATACAACAATGCAAGTGACATTGATGCTGGATTTGCAAGCGCTCGTCGACGTGGCTGTCCTTCCCTTAGTAATAATGATAATGATAAGAAATTGGCAGCACTAGACTTGGTGACGCCTAATTCATTTGACAACAATTACTTCAAGAATTTGATTCAGAAGAAGGGTCTTCTTCAATCAGATCAAGTTCTGTTCAGTGGAGGCTCTACAGATTCCATTGTGTCTGAATACAGCAAAAATCCTACAACCTTTAAGTCTGACTTTGCAGCTGCTATGATCAAAATGGGAGATATTGAGCCATTAACCGGATCAGCTGGAATAATAAGAAAGATTTGCAGTTCCATCAACTAAGTTTTTGGACATATCAATCGCCATTGAGTTGTTTCAACATTTCATAAATCATTTCATTTCTACCAAACACAAGTGTTGAATGAATACTCTTGTCAATTCATTTAATTGTATGTAATCCTTGCATTCAATGATCAATAAAGTGTAAGTTTGTTTTTATTTATTTCGTTTTCACATGATGTTTTGGTCACAATTTGGTTTCTAAAATATTTCAGATTTCGGCTTAAACTTAATGATCCAATATTGCCCACCTCAATCTAAAACACCAAAATTGAATCAATCATACCATACAAGTCGACCAAGGTTAACACCCTTCAAATGTACAATTTCGTTTATATTTATTTGGTTTAAAATAAATTTATAACTGCATTCAGTGTCATTGTAATATTTTATTAAAATCATCACTGTTAAGTTTATGTAATTAAAAATCAGCATTCATATTTATCAATTAAATTTTAACTGTGCAAAACTTTTATGACTAGGGCCACAGTTCACAACTGTAGCCATAAAAGCTTTGAAAGCAGGCCAGGCCCAGGCCTGCATCATCTACGTGATCCATATATTCACCAAATTCATCATGATAGTACAACAATTTTTTAATGTTTGTAGGTAAAAATGTGATAAAGAAAATAAAAAATAAAAAAGACAAAGGATATGTTAAGTGTCGTTAAAAATACTTTTCTGGCAAATTAATAAGTTTCATATACCCCACCCACGTGCTTATTATGACTAGGGTCACGGTTTTCTGATTTTAAAAGATGTTAACATAATTTAAAATATTTTAAATTACGTTTTATAATTTTTGTTATTATAACTTATAATTTCAAAATTTTACTTTTGTTAAAATTAAAAAAATAAAGAATTAAATATATTATTTAATATTTAAAAGTAATTTTAAAATATATAATGAATAAAATAATAATTATATTATTATTATTATTTGACAATTTTAATCAATCATCTCGTTAGATTTTAAATTGGACATACAATATTTATTACTCAACCTAAAAAATTAGAAAACAAAGAAAAACTAAATTTTTAAATTGTAACCTACGATACTCAAACCAATGAATATTCTCAAATTATTATTTTTTTCAGAAATGTAAAAGGATTCCGCAAATGTCTTGAATATTTAAGGAGGGCGTGGCTAGATGTAACGTAATCTATTTGAATTATATGAAGTCAGAGCAAATAATTTTCTCATTTTCTAGTTTTCCGAAATTCAAAAAGAACACGCAAATGTCAGGAATATTTAAAAGGGCTAAAGAAAAAGATTAATAAACATTCAGCACAATCCATGGTTCAGATTGAGGCAGCGTAGCTTCAGCCTCATAGAGGTGCAGCAGCGTATAATTACCCCTTAAGTATGTATATAGTTTACACGTTGGCACGTCCAAACGTGAGAACCTCTTCGTACCTCCGAATGTTTGATTTGTACAATGTCAACCCGAACGTGATGGCTACCACCTATTCACCAAACCCTTTCTTTCTTTCTTTCTTTCTTTTTTCTTCTTCTTCTTCTTCTACTTCTTATATATATAGAAGAGATTGAAATGCACAATGCATGCATAAGGGAAACCTTAGTTTATAACTTTATATTATATGATCACATTTTCTGATTTCCCTGAGGCTGCAAATAAACCATCATCGTGAACATGAAGAACCTGAACATCTCTTTGTGCGTGCTTTTCCTAGCTCTTGTGCGTTTAGGGAGAACTGCACCCTCAAGCTTCAACTATGGTGATGCCCTTGACAAGAGTTTGATGTTCTTTGAGGCACAAAGATCTGGTAAGTTACTAGTGCAGCAGCGAGTCAAGTGGCGTGGTGATTCTGGCCTCCAAGATGGTTTTCAGCAAGGAGTGAGTCCCCATGATAAACCCTTTAGAGATTCAATGAGTTGTAAATTGTAATACTAAGCCTTGTTTGCATAAATTAGTTCATAGGTACTCACATAGGCTAAGATTTTGGAGAAGGTATATGAAAAACATCTATAAAAGTTAAGTGCATACGTGATTCTAGCTTAGAAGAGAAAAACTTCTATAAGCTAAGATTTCTTCTTGTGTGTGTTTTCATTTTTGTTGTTGCGAGATGATGTAGGTAGACCTGGTGGGAGGGTACTATGATGCAGGAGACCATGTGAAGTTTGGTTTGCCTATGGCCTACAGTGTCACAATGCTTGCATGGGGAGCCATTGAGTTCAACAAGGAAATTACGAGCTTGAACCAAATGGGACACGCATTATGGGCCATTAAATGGGGAACTGATTACTTTGTCAAAGCACACACTCAACCCAATGTTCTTTGGGGACAGGTAAGCAAGCACAACATACAGGGACTGTGTTCTTTTGTTCGGTCACCAATTTTCATCTGTCTGAGTTAATGAGTATTACACAAGTTTCCTAATTAAGACCACATTAAGTGTTTCACTATTATTTCACTACATTATCAATCTACTTCAAATCTATATATATCGTTTTGTTTAACAGACTACTTTGATGTGAGAAAGTCAATAAAGTTCTTGACAAGTATACATAAAATAAGAAAATAAGAAGATGAATTAATTTTTTCTCAGAAGTTAAAACTAATGTATACACTTCAATTTTTACAGAAACTTTTTCATGTGACTTCTTCAAATTCAAGCATATAAGTTCATTTTAACTGGCATGAAGATTTTGGCTTATTGAAAAGTTTATCCAAAGAAAACATGATGGAATTTCTTAGGGGCTCTTAAAAAATATTGTTACTCTGGTTGAATGTTGAGCATGCTTATGGTAATGTAAGATATTTCTTTGCTATGACAAACTTCAGGTGGGAGATGGAGTTTCTGACCATTACTGCTGGGAGCGTGCTGAAGACATGACTACATCAAGAGGTGCCTACAAAATTGATGAAGAACACCCTGGCTCTGATCTGGCAGGTGAAACTGCAGCTGCACTGGCTGCTGCAGCTATAGCTTTCAGTCCCTACAACTCTTCTTACTCTAGTCTCCTGCTTGCTCATTCAAAACAGGTGAGCACTCACACTAACTGATTAAAAAAACACTTATAGCACTTAAAAGCAACACATGACATTAAAAAGGCAATAAGTTTAGGTGAAATATTTAAAAATAAGGACTACAAATCTCAAAATGGTATTCCATCCTCTAATTGATTATGGCTTATTAACAGTATATTTACAGAAAACCTTTTAATAGTTTACAGTCAAAGGAGTTCTCAACTTCTTGTTGATAATGTTCTACTGTTGCAGCTCTTCACATTCGCAGATAGGTTCAGAGGTCTCTATGATGTATCTATTTCAAGCGCTCAGCAATTCTACACTTCTTCCGGTTACTCAGTGGGTGAACATTGCTCTATTCTGCATTTGCTTCCATTACCCATTATCAAACAAAAAACCTGACTCAGCTGCTCCTGTGTGTAGGATGAATTGTTATGGGCTGCCACTTGGCTATACCAGGCAACTGGGGATGAATACTACCTAGAGTATGTAGTGGACAATGGTGTGTATATGGGTGGAACTGGCTGGGCAGTAAAAGAGTTCTCTTGGGACAACAAATATGCTGGTGTGCAGATCCTCCTATCAAAGGTAAATTATTTGTGACAAAAAATATCTTTTTCATGTTCTGAAAGTATAATGGCTATATTTGAAGATGATTTATTAAAAATTGTTCTTCACAAATCATTTTGATCAATGTACAAGTTTCCAAATGGGAAAGGATTATTGTTGTTGTTGTGAGTCCATGGAAATCAAATGTGCACCCCACACCAAAGTCAATGAATTATGCAATAAATGGTCATAATTTGCAGATATTGCTAGAAGGAAAGGCTGGTCCTTACGCTGATACCCTAAAGCAATACCAGGCCAAGGCAGATTATTTTTCATGTGCCTGCTTGCAAAAGAATGATGGTTACAATGTCCAGAAAACACCAGGTTAGATGCTCTTATGTAGAACATTAATTTACCAGCCACTTAAACTCCTTGTCAAATGGATTTAAAGGAAAATTCATGGAAAACTATACACCAGGTTAGATTATTTCTTTGTATTTCTGCTTACCAGGTGGCTTACTATACGTGCATGAATGGAACAACATGCAGTATGCTTCTTCTGCTGCATTCCTTTTAGCTGTTTACTCTAATTACCTCTCAACAACAAAAGCACAGCTCAACTGTCCAGATGGACAAACTCAGCCTCAGGAGCTTCTCAATTTTGTTAAGTCTCAGGTATTCATTGGAATCTACCCTTTCCAAACTTAGATAAATATCTTTAGTTTGGTATTGTTCTTTAATCAAAATTATGATTTGTCTCAGAAATCCACCTAACAAAGTTTATGTTAAAGATTAGCACAAGTCACTCGAGTGAAATTCCAGTTTTAATTGAATAGCACCAAGGACACCTAAGAAAATGCATCTAATATAAGTTTTGTCCATCATGGTTTAATGTGTGGTTTGATCAGTAAACTGAAACTGTGAATTTTGATTGACACAGGCTGATTATATCCTCGGTAATAACCCAGCGGGTATGAGCTACTTGGTTGGATATGGAGCAAAATATCCTCTTCATGTTCATCACAGAGGCGCTTCCATTGCTTCAATCTTTGCTCTTCACTCTGAGGTTGGCTGCACTCAAGGATTTGAGCTGTGGTATAACCGCGCTGAGCCAAATCCTAATGTCATCTGTGGTGGCCTCGTGGGTGGGCCCGATGAAAATGATGGCTTCTCTGATGACAGATCCAATTATGAACAAACTGAGCCTACAGTTTCAGGTTCTGCTCCTCTTGTAGGCATCTTTGCTAAACTGCAGAGTTTGTATGGTAATATAGAAGGTGAGCAACAATCTCCTTTATCAATCATACACTAATCTTGATTTTTTTCTTCCAGCATGAATCTTCAATCACTTTTCTCTTGTCACAGGTTACAACCATAATCCATCACCAGTGCCCCAGCAAAAAACACCAAGTGAGTATCATAGAACTTGTTGTTTTGTTCCGCATACAGATGTCTACACTAATCTGAACTCTTGTCTTCCTCTTACACCGTGAAGCCTCGTCACTTTTCTCTTATTTGTCACAGGTTACAACCATAATGAATCACCAGTGCCCCAGCAAAAAATACAAAGTGAGTATCGTAGAACCTGTTTAGTTCCACGTCTAGATGTGAGGGATAATCGTCATTCTACACTAATTTGCTCTGTTGTCTTCCTGTACTGTACACTAAAAGACACATCACTTTTCTCTAATTTGTCACAGGTTACAATCAAAATGAATCACCAGTGCCCCAACAAAAAACACCAAGTCAGTATTATAGTCTTTAGAACTTCTTGGTTCAACGTCCGTTATGTGATTTTCAGGTTTACTCAGAAGCTAACAATTATAGCTTCTGCATTTTGTAACATAATTGACATTGTTTCTGACTTTGGTTTCCCAACATGCATTCAGTAAACTAAACTAACAAGATGAAAAAAGAGTTTAAAGCTTGTTTTAATTTAGAAAACTCTCTGGCTGTCTTTGCATCACTAACTAACATCCATTGGCTTGATAGGTACATATTCAGGAAAAGAAACGGCATCTAAAACATCAGAAGGTATTTAAATCTAACAATCGTTGCTTTCCAAAGTTTATTTTTGCTAACATCCGCTAAAGAATGATATATAAGATTGTGTTGCAGATGCCCCAGTTGAATTCCTTCACTCAATTACTAGTTCATGGACTGTTGGAGGTGCAACTTACTACCGTCACAGGGTTATAATCAAGAACACTTCTTCGAAGCCAATCTCAGATCTTAAGTTGGTGGTTCAGGATCTCTCAGGCACTTTATGGGGTCTCTCTCCAACAGAAGAAAAGGACACCTATGAACTTCCCCAATGGCATCAGGTCTTGAATCCTGGCTCTGAGTATATATTTGTATACGTTCAAGGTGGACCCCAGGCTAAAGTCTCCATTAAAACCTTCCAATGATCATTTTTAGAGGGCACATTCAGAAAAGACGAACTTTTTCCACAAGTTAAATTTGACAGTTCAACTTCTGTCACTCCATGATTGTAATTTTGTATTATCAATTTTTCAACACAGTTCATACCTTACTGTCCACACTTAATTGTAATATCAGTTTCTGAAACTTCGCTATTTGATCCTACGGACAATCAATATATGAAAAAGTCAAGGAAAAAGTTACCAAGGAGGAACTACAACAACGTAGTTTTCACAACGAGAGAAACTGAGAAAGAAATACAGAAACACACGAATTGAGAGTTTACACACGAGCTTGTTTTATGGTATTTATGTGCAAGTGAGGAGTTGTTTAGGCACCATCATTTTTTCAAACGATATAGCAGGCCATTGCTTTTTGTTGACAAACAAGTATCTAAATAAAGTGTTGGTAACAAGAAAACAAAACAACATTCTCAATTTTTCTCTCCTGATACAATTCCAAATGAGTTGTTACAATTATTTATGGCCAAAATATTTGCCTTTTCAAATACCAAACGTAAATCATAATACCTATTAAATAGGTTTACAACTCATTAGTTATACCACTCGTAATTAAAACCATTATAGGAATACTAAACGTCTAATTTAAGTTTTACAATAAATCTCCCCCTTAAACTTAAATACTCTTCCCATCTCTTATTCCAATAAGTCTTTTACAACTCTCCAGCAGTGTAGTTGGCAGTGGTTTGGTGAATATGTCAGCAGCTTGAGCTCGGCTTTCAACATGCTCCAGCTCAACCTTTCCTTCTCTAACTTGTTCTCGGATGAAATGAAATCGGACGTCAATGTGCTTGCTCCTTCCATGATTAACCGGGTTCTTTGTCAACTCGATTGCTGACTTGTTGTCAACTCAAATTACAATCCTTTCGTCTTGGATCACTCCCAGATGCCTTAGTAAATTTGAAAGTCAAACTGCATGACACACACTCCAAGAGGCCGCCACATACTCGGCCTCACGAGGTTGACGAGTTACAATGGGTTGCTTCTTTGACGACCAAGTAAAAGCTGTTTTTCCGAGTAGGAACACATAACCTGAAGTATTTTTCCGGTCATCAATATCACCACACCAATCACTATCCGAGTAACCCACTAGTCGGTAGTCATCCGATTTTGAATAGAATAGACCAAGTGATAAGGTTCCTCGAACATATCTCAAAATTCTCTTTAAGGCCTTCCAATGTGTGTAACTTGGATTCTCCATGTCTCTGCTCGTTATCCCAACACTCAACATTAAGTCGGGTCTTGTGCTTGTAAGGTATCTCGGACTTCGATTAAGCTTCGATATCTCCCAGAATCGGCTCGTTCTCCTCCATCAAACTTTGAGAGTTTAGTGCCTGGTTCCATTGGAGTAGAAACCGGGTTATGAGTCCTCCATTTTAAATTTCTTTAAAATTTCAAGTGCATACCTCTCTTGGGATATAAAAATTCCTTCCTCTCGATTGCTTCACTTCTAGACCAAGAAAATATTTCATCGACCCTAAGTCTGTCATTTCGAACTCTTTCTTCATTACCTCCTTGAACTCCTTAATTAGCTTCGTATTGCTTCCAAGTGAATATGAGATCGTCAACATAAAGAGCAATTATCATCATATCCTTTTTTGATTTCTTTGTGTACAAAGCATGCTCATATGGACATTGTTCATACCCATTTTTCTTGAAATACCCATCAATTCTCTCATTCCAAGCACGAGGAGCCCGCTTCGACCCATAGAGAGCTTTTCTTAATCTCGGTACCTTTTCCTCATCCCCTCTCTTCATGTACCCGAGTGGTTGTTCAACATACACCTCTTCCTTCAGCACTCCATTTAGAAATGCTGACTTCACATCCATCTGTAGAATCGACCATTGATTCTAAGCAGCTAATGAGATTAGAAGTCGGATTGACTTCATTCTCGTAACAGGAGCAAATACTTTATCATAGTCAATTCCCTCCTTTTGTTTATAACCCTTCACCACAAGTCGAGCCTTGTAACGTTCAACCTCTCCCTCAACATTCATCTTCTTTTTGTACACCCATTTTACTCCAATGGGTTGAGCTCCTTTAGGAAGTTCAGTCAGTTCCCAATTTTTGTTGCGTTCAATCGCTCCAATCTCCTCATCCATGGTTGTTCTCCACTTCTCATCTTGGACAGCTTTCTCAAAACTCAAGTCTTCGGAATTAGCCAAAAGACATACAACATGAACTTCATTTGTAGTGTCGTATATATCCTGCGAGACTTCTCATCTTGAGTCATGTTGTGGCTCTATTTCTTTATCTAAGGACTCAATGGTTGTTATTGTTGAAGGCAAAACAATTTCTGAACTAGTTTCTTCTTCTGTCGGGTTACTCCAGCACCAATGCTTTGTTTCTTCCACATGAACATCTCGGCTTACCACCACTTTATTATTAACAGGATCAAACAATTTATAAGCTTTAGATTTTCCATCATACCCGATAAATATGTACTTCTTACTCCGATCTTCTAATTTAGTCATGTGCTGACTTGGTACTTGCCCATAAGCCATGCTACCAAACACCTTTAGATGAGAGACACTTGGCTTCATACCACTCCATATCTCCTGAGGCGTCTTCTCTCCTAGCTTTGCATGTGGACATCTATTTTGCAAATAAGCTGCGCACTTGCACCGCCTCTGCCCAAAACTTCTTTGGCATATTCTTCCCTTTCAACATAGATCGAACCATATCAAGAATGGTTCGGTTCTTTCGTTCCGCTACACCGTTTCTGCTGTGGAGAATATGGGGCGATCAGGAAATGTTTGATCCCAAGTTCCTCACGGTATTTGTTGAACTCGGTAGAAGTGAACTCGCCTCCTCTGTCGGACCGGAATGCTTTGATGACTTTGTTTGTTTCTTTCTCCACCATAACTTTGAATTTCTTGAAAGTTTCAAACACTTCGACTTCTCCTTCGAGAAAATAAACCCATGTTTTCCTTGAAAAATCATCAATGAAAGAGACAAAGTATCTCTTACCACCGAAAGATTCGGAGTTATTGGCCCACACAAATCGGTATGGATCACTCCGAGTTGCTGCTTTGCTCGACACTTAGAACTTCTTGGGAAAGAAGTTCTCGCTTGCTTCCCAATCACACATTCTTCACAAAACCTTTTTCCGAATTCCATTTTAGGCAATCCGAGCACCATCTCCTTTTTCACCAGCGCAGTCAACCCACCAAAAAGATGACCAAACCGCAAATGCCACCTCATGACCTCATCCTCCATATCAAATTGCATACATTTATCTTGAACTGTCTTCAGCTCAAGTTTGTACATGCGATTTTTCTTCATTCCCACCAGAGCAACAAGCCTCCCTAATTTATCCTTCAGTTGTAGTTCTCGGTCCTTCATCAGAACCGAGTACCCCTTCTCCATTAACTGTCTCATGCTCAATATGTTGCTTTTGAGATCACGTACGTAGTATACATCTCTGATCTCTCCGATTTGCCCATTTCTCTGTTGATACCATATCGTTCCTTGACCTTTGACAGCTACTTTCGAAGCATCACCGAAAGAAACAGATCCGGACTCCACCTTTGAAAGTATTTTGAATAAGCGCTCATCACCACACATGTGGTTACTAGCGCCGGTGTCTAAGTACCAAACCGAGTTATTAGAACAGTTCGGTTTGATCTCAGTTTCTGAAGTGTTTGTCACCATCAGCAATCCTTCATCTTCTTCCTCAGCAAGAAAGTTTGTTGGTTCCTCCTTTTTCTTCTCAGACCTACAATCTTTGGAAATATGACCCAGTTTTCCACAATTATAGCATTTTACGGAGTAACAGTCCTTGGCAACATGCCCATTCTTTCCACAATTATAGCATTTTACCGTGTAACAATCCTTGGCAATATGCCCATTCTTCCCACAATTATAGCATTCAATATTGTTTGTGTTTGTCCGGCCACTCTGAGCCTGTCCTTGGCCACGCCAGTTCTGTTGACCGTCTTGCTCATTTCCTCGTCCTCCTTTTCCTCTACCACCACGACCTCTGCCTTTTCCTCGGCCTCTAGAGCTCTGAGCATATAGCACCTTCTCCTCTTTTATTGTCGCCTTTGTCTGGAGTGCCTGTTCAAGGGACTCCCCCTTCTTGTTTTTCCTTCTCTGCTCATGCGCTTCTAGGGACCCAGCAAGCTCTTCAAGGGTGAGCGTTGACAGATCCTTGGACTCCTCTATTGCGCATACGATGTTCTCGAAATCATCTGTCAATGATCTTAAGATTTTTTCAACAACTCGGTTTGATGAAAGACTCTCACCATTTTGATTCAGCTTGTTCACCATAGTCTCCACCCGAGTAATGAACTCGGATACGCTTTCAGGTTCTTTCATCCTCATGTTTTCAAGCTCGCCCCTAAGGGTTTGAAGTTGAACTTGTTTCACCCTTTCATCTCCTTTGTTTGTTTTTTCAAGTGTATCCCATGCTATTTTGGAAGATTTTGCGTTAGCTATCTTCTCAAAGCCAGATTCGTCGATGGCTCGGTATAGTAGATACAGAGCCGCCTTGTCTTTTGCTCGAACGGCCTTCAATGCGTTCAGCTGGGCATTTGAATACCCATCTGTGTTTGCCGGTTCCTCATACCCATTCTCGACCACATCCCAGTTATCTTGGGAGCCGAGAAGAGCCTTCATTTGTACCTTCCAATTGTCATAGTTGGTGCCTTTCGTCAACTTGGGTAGCGGGATGTCATTGGTTAGACCTGTCATTTCCTCTCAAGTGTTTGCTCTCAACTCACACACCTCACAAAGCTTTAAGTTGCTCCTCTCACACCGCAGCGTTCTCTCTTGAGATTTGGTAGGTTCTCTCACACTCACCTCACACACAAGCTCTGATACCAATTTGTTGGTAACAGGAAAACAAAACAACACTCTCAATTTTTCTCCTGATACAATTTCAAATGAGTTGTTACAATTATTTATGGCCAAAATATTTGCCTTTTCAAATACCAAACGTAAATCATAATACCTATTAAATAGG